CGATGTATCGATGGTAGTTTGAAGTTCGTGGAGTTTCGAGGTGTTTTAACCCAGTGATTTATCATTTAGTTCATAGTTTAAGCTGGGGATAATTGTTTTTTTTTGCAGAATCGTCAGCAGTTTCATTACCTAGAATTCCGACATGAATAGGAATTCAAATTCGCGTTGTTTTAGCTTCAACTGAGACAAGACATATATAGAATGCACTGGGGTGTTCGGAGTATGTATTTTAAAAAGAGTGAAAAGAAAATATTGAATCTGTACAAATTGGACTTTTAGCTTCGTTAGGTAATGAAATTAATAATTGGAGTATCTGTATGGATTAAGACGATTAATGGGAGGTGATAATTCTTGAGAATTTTATTTGTGATTGTAACATCCGGCTCCTAACATCCATCTGTATATAAAACATTATTATAGAAATTTGTGTTACTAGTTCTTTCCTCTGTAAAGTTTTTTTATTGTTAAGATTTTTTAGAATGAGTAAAATTTTTGGAATGTGATTAGTCAGGGGAAAATTTAACGAAAATATATTAACATTTCTTGTTGAAAGGACGATAAGGTGAGTACGGTCAGAAGTATTTCTGGTAATGACTAATGTATGGTGAGATAGTTAGAAGTCTTGATTAGTTTGTATACGGAATTGGTTTGATTAGAAGATATTCTAAAACAATATGATAAGAGTAGTTGTTGGTGACCCAATGATAGAGGAACTTCACCGCTATACAGTCTACGCTTCCAATGGGGCTGGATCTGAAAGCTCCAAGGCAAATTCACTATACTGTATTTTGTACAGTATAAAAAGTTCGTAGATCAGATTTTGTTTATTACAGATTTTAAAATATTGAGCCTAGCTATGCAATTGCTTTTTTGATGTGTCATTTCCAAGTAAGATGACTATCGAAATAAGGCAAAGCATCTTGTGTTTCAAAAACTGTCAAGGATGTGTCGTTTAAGATGATTTGGTGATCTAGAATTCAACGTGTTATTCGGGAAAATTTAATCACTTTCGTTTTTTCGGCGGAGAAATTAATCCCAACGCTCTTCAATTACAAATGCAATTCGTTTACTGCATTCTAGGGCAACTTTCTGGTATTGCTTTTGTCTTTATCGCAGTAGTATAAAATCAGATTATCTGCAAACATAGTATATTTTACAGGTTTGAGTTTATTCTTGCAATTGTCGTTAAAAGCGAGTATGAAGAGAATGGAGCTTAGACAAGACCCTTGAGGAACGCCGTTGTCTTAACCATAGGTTGAGGAATTTGTTCGATTGGTGAGAACTTTGAACAACGGTCGGTGAGAAACTGTTCAATAAAAAAACATATTTTCCATAACGTTGCATTCTCTTAGTATGTCCAGTATTTAATTTTTAACGGGGTAATAAAAGGAGTTTGGATCTTAAATGATACTGCTATTATATCATGTTTTTTCTGGAATGCGGTGATTTCTTTAGTTTTAGTTAGTTGCTAAAATTATGGATTTAATGCGACATTTTTTTGTACTTTTATTAACAGATGTTATAGTTATATTTTAGAAATATTATCAGTGATTTACAAAAATATCTATCAATTTTCTAAAAAAGTTACAGTCGTGATTGTGGCATTGTAGATTTTGTAGTAAAATGCATATACGTGAAATTATATTACATTTTATTATGGTAAAAGTTAAACAAAGAGAACTTTCTAATATTGAAAACAACAAAAATAGAAATAATAACGTAGCAAAACACTAAATCATACTTTAGAATAATTTAATTTTCTTCTGAATCCCCACTTTTATTTGGCTCTGGCAAATTGTCTCTTATATTTTTATCAGCAGTTACAGAATTATAAAAGTTATGATAGTTCTTTGGAATTGTTAAATCATGACACATTCTCTGCAGATCTTTAAATTTAGCAATCGTAATTGGCAACTGCTTATCATAAGCTTTGTTTAAGTCAACATTTTTGGGTCGCCTACGACTTTTCATGCTGTTTACCTGTTGAAAATCATCTCATAATTTTTTTTATATACATTGTCACCACGGCATCGGTTTTAATGTATGGTAACAAGCAAATTTGTTGCCAGGGAATTTTGTCCACTTTATAGTTCTGTATTCCAAAGGATTTGAAATAAAGATGTTATCAAACATTATGAATCTGGCAAAAGGACATAGATGTGTTTACATTTCTCATCATCTGAGACCATTATCCGGTGAATAAACAGGAACATATTTTGATTTCTGTTTGATTTTCGAGTGGAGTAAATCACACTCCATCTTGGTATGTTCTGATTCAAAAAACTTGGGATCAATAGTTTTTAAGTTAGTGATCCGTAAGTTTCAAACATATTGCAGCAAAACGTAAATTTTTTTGTTGTCCACCACTCCCGTCCGACATCATTCGAACTTCAGTAATATTTGGTTGATTAATAATATAATTGTAAATACACGTGGATATCTCGTTTGACTCCATTTTCCCTTGAGCTTCGTCCCAAAGGTAACAGATTTCGTCCTGATTCCCTAAGTTGTAGACAGTCAAGTTGTAAATAGCTAATTTTCGTAAAATATTTGTCCTGTGTAATACTTTTTAAATTAGTGATCCGTAAGAAGTTTCAAGCACATAGCAGCAAAACGTAAATTTTTTTGTTGTCCACCACTCCCGTCCGACATCATTCGAACTTCAGTAATGTTTGGTTGATTAATAATATAATTGTAAATACACGTGAATATTTCGTTTGACCCCTTTTTCCCTTGAGTTTCGTCCCAAAGGTAACAGATTTCGTCCGGATTCCTTAAGTTGTAGACAGTCAAGTTGTAAATAGCTAATTTTCGTAAAATATTTGTCCTGTTCGACTATTTGCAGTCGTAAGCACTGCTTTGAGGTCAAATTTAAACGATAGTATCTCTGAATTATTCTTTGTAATTTTTTTGTCTTAGTCTAGAGCCTCACGAGTTTTTAGTTTTATGGAACCCCAAGTTATAAGCTTTTAACACTCGTTGATACTTTTCGAAAGAAACTGGATGCGCATTTAATTAAGAATCCAAATATCTTTTGATATTAGAGGCCCTACAATAATGAGACTCCACGGCTGGAGATGAAATAATATGCTCACGAATAAGCAGTTTATCATCATCTTTCAATTTATTATGTGGGACATGTTTTCCATAATATGTGGACGTTTATATTTACATACAAAACTGAGAGTGTTTAATTGGAACAAGACAACGAATGTAAAACAAGTGCAAAATCCACACCGCCCCAAACAAGAAAGTGTCACTTTCGCGATGAACGCATTGCAAATTAACAATGCAGACTGACTTTCGTGAAAGTGCATATCTCCTCCCTACCATCTTCTAGCCTTTAATCACAGTTGTGGTTGTGCCACAGTATAGGAATGACTGAGACATTATTAGTGGTGTACTTATGTGAAAAACGAAAATTTTGCACATTCGTGAGTGTCGCATTGCACCGACGCATTACAGTTATCAGTCTTCAATTAACAGCATTGCTGAGAAATTTTCCGGACTAAGCTGAATCTATAACCCTCTGTTTTCCCAGGTACCATATACAAGAGTCATTTGTTTTTCATAAGTTTACACGTTATACATGTAAGTGAAATTTGGCGATAAGAGTTCAGATTAGTCAAAGCTTTTTTTCTGTTTTATTGGTAAAATTATTCCATTATTCTGGGAGCTTTTTGTTGGTCCATATTATGTTAACGATTTAGCAGTTTTATTAGAAAGGTAACAAAAAAAGCACTACAGCACTATAAAGGAATACTATCAGGTACTGTAGCTAAAATTTGGCATCTTGGTAATAAAGATACGTCCTGGGCACGAAAATAAAAAAGTTATATTTTGTTAGCTGGTTAGCCGAAATGCTAACTGCTCTTCTACATGAAATAAAAGTCCGAACAGAAAGAGCAATAGATGCATTTATACAGATAAAACAATTTTCTTGTTATAGCAGCCCCTGTTGTATCAGAGCTTACGGCGAAAACAAAAAACCTTAAATACTTTGAACGTTATTAGAAAAGATAAATAGGTAATACTGCAACATATAACGTAGGTAAAAATAAAGAGCAAACGGAGCCAGGGCAGGAAAGGGTTGGCTTAAGAAGTGGGAGGGATTTGATTCGGTTTGATTTTGAGGTTTGATATTTAAAGAATATTTAGATCTGGTAAAAACGAATATTTAAAACACTGGAAACGAATATCCATTGAATTTGAATTTAATGGATTCAAATTTGAAAGATTCATAGAGAGATTGGTTAAAAAAGACTATGCTTTCTGATTATTTTTAAACCTATATTGTAAGTTTTGAACAATAACTATTTAGTAACGGACAAAATCGAATTCTTTCATGAATCAAAAACTCGGTGTTCGATAATTTATAAGAATCGAGAACTTTTTCGAGAACCGATAACCGATATTCCTTTTAAGGGTTGTTTATATATATATATATATATATATATATATATATATATATATATATATTGTTTTAAATTGTTAAATTTTTGACTTAATTGTGTTAGGTTTTGTTCTTGTAAATACCATAAAAAGTAAATAATAACATACATTAGAACGTATTTGAGTAAATTCATTCTCAAAAGAAGTCACTGTTTAATGACAAATACAAAAAAATCTACTGTGATTTTCGATTCTTGTGTTAGTTCGTTTCCCGAGGTTTTGCATCATGACTTTTGAAAATACTGAACAAATGAAGTTTTTCTTTGAATGACTTATTTATAAGTTTTTTTACAATTCTGACAAATGACTATCGTGACTATGTTACAGAAATAACCAAAAAGACTTAAACATGTTTTTAAAAAAACTTATGTATTACGTATTGTCTAGAAATAACCAACCTTCCAGTTGACGAATATTTTGTTGCACGAGTCTCCGCTAAATACGAATTTTTTTAATGGCTTGATATTTAAATTAAACGGAAAAAATAACAAAATTTTAGACTTTTTATTTAATAATAAATACTATATATTAATTTTATTTCTTTTTAGATACTATCCACCGCTGTTCTTATTATTCAATATTATATTACCCGTGAGCATTCCTGTCTATTTTTGGAACGAAACCATTTGGAACTCATTTTGGATCAACTTTAATACTAGATTTACTTTGACATTAAACATTGCCTTTTTCGTGAATAGTGCTGCGCATATGTGGGGCCAGAAACCGTATGATAAGTAAGTTTAATCATATTTAGCTTATAACTTTTTAGACTTTTTCGCGATTATAATAACTTTAAATGTCCAAATTAGATATTTAGAACCGTTTCTAAGCACAATTATGTAAATAATGCGTTGAATTTAACCAACACGTATCCTGCTTATTTTCAGTAAAGAGGTGATTCTTACCCGAAGCTCATCTCTGCTTATTTTTCATAGTATGTCAGCTCTAATAGAGCATGTCCGTCCAAAATATATTTTTTCGGGTCGAAAACGGAGATTTTTTCTGGACCTAAGTATTTTGCAATTAATCCTGTTTTAACAAGTTTAACAGATCTTTTCATCGCTGTGTATTTCCCAGCGACCTGAAATCCATACCACTGTGGCACTGGTAAATTTAGCTAGTCTGCTGAATTCTTTGCGGCATGATCACACTATCCTGGAGTCTACCTTAGCGTTTCTAAGAACACCCATGGCCGCCTACTTATATATGCATATATTAACTAACTTCAGTTCACATACCCTCATGTTCATTTTTTTTATACAGTCCATGATTACATTAATGTCTGCGTGGAATACAGAGCTTTGTTCTCCTAGTTGAATCAAAATATTTACATTTTCACTACTACATAATATTTCTACACCCTATCCTTCTGCAGTTTTAGACCTATCACTGTTCCAGGTATAACCTTGTAGCCTTTTTTTTCGTCTTTATAGAGGGGGGGTCTGGAATCTTCAAAACACATCTCAGTCCAGGACGCCGCCTGACTGACCTTAGTGCATGATTCGTTCTTCGTACTCCCGGCGATAGTTCCCGAGGTACTTTAAAATGCCCTCTCGTCGCCGAGTCTACGCCGAACGCCTACCTGCTAAACCAGACCCTCCTCTGTTATCCAACGATCCGGAAGCGGAATGGCCGCTGTAAGGCCGGCATCACTTCTGAAGCATTACCTTTATTCATTCATTCTCCATTCATACACATCCACACTCCTAGTTCCGCATCATTCTCAGAAGGGCATTTCCTCCTTCCCCACAGTCAAACTCACGCATTCTAACTCAAAAAGTGTGACCCACTGTTCTAACTTCACCTTTCAGCATCATTCACTCTACCTTTGCCGTTGGTCCAGCTGTCTTTCTTCCTCTTCCTTTTTTTTTGATCACTGCACGGATATAACTGTGTATGTTAATCCAACCTAATTTATTTTCAATCATTCTCTCAATCATTTCTCTCACTGTAACAAAATTCACACCTGTCTCTCTCTCCATTCTGTTCCTTTCCACTATCCACCTGCTGCAATCTAACATCGTATGTGTCACAGTGTCCGAGTATCCACAATATAGGCATTCATCTGTATCAGCCTTACCGATCCTATAAAGGTAGGCCCTAAAACACCCGTGTCCTGTGAGCACCTACGTCAGGAAATAATCCAATCGCCTGTGGTCACAGTCCACCCAAACTCTTATGTTAGGGATCAGCATTTTCGTCCACTGTGCCACATCCTCCGTATTGTTCCATTCTTCTTGCCATCTTTCAATTAACTTTTCCCTTACCTGTCTTCTCTCAGCCACAGTAAGGTTTGAGCCTCTTCTCTCATAAAGCTCTTTTCTTTCCACCGCCAAAACATGCAACGGAACACATCCAGTGATGGTCCATAAGGCTGCCGCAGACACAGTCCTGTAGGCGAACGCCACTCGCAACAGACTTGTTCTGTCTACTCGTTTTATAAGACTCCTATAAGCCGTTATCTCTACCGCCTCGCTCCAGACTGGTGCTGCATAGAGAACGATAGACTGTACAACACCGTGTAAGGCCCTCCTCCTTTCGGATTTGGGTCCTCCAATGTTCGGCATCACTCTCCCCAACGCAGCCGCACTATTCGCAGCCTTTCGGACCACCTCCCGAACGTGTTCCCCCCATTTTCCATTCTGGTGCAATGTCACTCCTAGATACTTTATTTGTGTCTTGGGTGTTAGACATACTCCCGCACATTTTAATTCAACACCTTGCCTGTTCCTTGTCCCCTTCAGAATAATGGCTTCGGTTTTCTCTGTCGCAAGTTTTAGTCCGTGCTGCGTCATCCATTTCTTTACGACGCCACCTGCTTTCCGAACCCGGTATTTGAGATCTGGCTCATCCCGGGCTACTACCAGTACAGCGAGGTCATCCGCGAATGCGAAGGGGGTTGTACCCTCTCCGTATTCACAGTGCATAACCCCGTCATATGCCAGATTCCATAGCGTCGGGCCCAAGACAGATCCCTGGGGTACCCCGGCCGTCACGTCCACGATCGTGCCCTTTTCCACCATAATCCTTCTCTCGGACAGATACTCCGCCATAACATTCATCAGGTAACCTCTCTCTCTCCTCCATTGCCTTCATTGCCTCGTTCCACTGCAGCGTATTGAATGCATTCTTAACATCAAACAACAGCAGGGCCGCCCAGCGATGTTCATTCCCTCTGTTGTGTAATGTTTCGAGTACACTCATGATTGCACCAATCGTGCTTTTCCCTTTACAAAATCCAAATTGCCTCCGAGACAAACCACCTGACCTCTCAATCATGTCGTCTATGCGTACTCGCAGCATTCTTTCATAGAGCTTACTGATGCATAGAAGAAGACGGATGGGGCGATACTTTTCCCTAGCTTTGGGAAGCAGTATTAACCTCGATGTCCTCCAAGGCTCAGGAAAGGTTTGTGCTTTCAGCAATGCATTTATGTGTTCCAGAAGCCACGCAGGCTCCACCCGTCCTAGACCCTTTACCGCCTCAGGTGGTATCTGATCCAGTCCGGGGGACCTACGAGTCTTGAGTGAACCCAATGCCTCGACAAGTTCATCCATTGTAAAGGGTACAGCCCGCTCAGCTCCTTCATCCCTCCACACACCATGACATCTGCCGTCCGGAAAGAGCTCTCTTGTTACCTCAAGCTTCTTGTCCATAGGCATTTCATAAGGAGGATACGCATGGAACTTCTTCATAACGATCTTGTATCCCTGACCCCATATGTCCTCATCCAGTTTTCACATAGCTCTTTCAGTGCATTCTTTTTTCTGTACGAATTTTCCTGTACAGTTCTCTCTTCCTTGCGCGGTACTCTTCCTCGATCTCCTCGATGACCTCAGGATTGATTCCTGCTCTGCCTCTTGCTCTTGTTAACCTTCTTCTCATTGCTATACATACATTTCTTAGTGCCTCGATGTCCGCATTCCACCAATATGGCATCCTGTTGACATCTTGGCGACCAATCTTGCTTCCTTTCATCGCTTCTTTAATGACTCTCTCCAGGCTTTCCATCGTCGGTGATTGACCCTCCATTATGCTTATTCTCCATTTAATTAGCTCCTCGTATACTTTCCAGTCATTCCCATCGCCGCATCTGCCCCCAGACGTCCCGGATGCACGGACCGCATTAGTGGTCCCCGTTCCAGTTATCGAGAACTCGATGTATTGATGTTCAGTTCCGGTGTAGTCTGGCAAAACCTTCCAGCCTCTTGCTTTCGCCGCTATTCCTTGTGTCGCCATGGTCACGTCGATGTATGTACCTGTACCTCTCCTAACAAACGTAGGTTCCAGACCTGTGTTCAGAACCACTAGGTCTAGAGTACCCACCCAGTCAGTTAGTATCCTGCCGCGAGTATCGGTGATGGGAGATCCCCACTCCGCTGTTTTTGCGTTAAAATCTCCCAGCACTACGTATTCTCCTCCTGTGTTTACCACTTCCTGCATGATCTCATCTATCTTCATCTCGTACTCACCCACCGTCACGTTTGGAGAAATATAACAGCAGACCAGCCGCACCCCCTCCATCTGAACAATCACATATCCTTCTTTCGGCTTAATTTCATACACTCGCAGCTTCCTATTGTAGATAATATGTAGCAATGTAATACAACCTTGTAGCCTGGATAATATGTTTTCTCTGTATCATCCCTCTCGTGGGTATATGTCTACTTGAAAAGGTACTTTAAGACTGTATCTGGATACCATATCTTTACATCGCTCTGGTTTTCTCATAGTCTATATTATTCCATTCTCACATTCACCTTAGTCAGTTTTTTAGTATAAGTAAAGAAAGGATGTCTAGTATGTCCGCCTTTCTTTACACCTCCAGCATAGCTGCTGTTTGTGAATTTCTTCATATACCCTGTCATAAAGCAGGGAAGTCTTTGCCCCTTACTGATTCCGAGTAAGGCTTGAGTTTAATATCACTCCAGGATACGTAACTTCACTCACCAGATTTAGATGTCTACCATTTAGACTTAGTGGTCCCAACTCTTCTAAGTTCCTTCTGATAAATTTCATGATTTTGGACTTCTGAGAGTTTATGTTAAACCCTACATTTAAAGTCCATACTGTAACAACAGTGTTATCCTGTTAATATATTATCCCTAGCCAGTTTTTACAAGGAATATGATCAGATTTTTTTGCAAACAACCTCTAGATACCTGTGCTGACGCATTATTCTCCAGTTGGTTAGTGGAGTAGTTTTTCTACTGTCTTTAGTACAATCCCAAGTGACCTTGTAAATGTTCTTTATTTTAAATTGTGTCGATTTAACAATCATTTTACTATATATTGCAAATTGTGTTAACCGTTGTCCATTATCATTTGTTGTGTCGTGTACGCTATGTTTACCAATTACTTCTCTTAAATAGTCTTTCTTACCTAGTTAAGTATTACATTCCCCCATTACTACCTTGATGTCGTGTTTTGAAGCCGCTTTATACTGTTTGTCTAATAATTCGTAAAATTCGTTCTTCGTATCTTCTTCGACATCTTCTGTTGGGACATGTATTGAGAATATAGCGAGATTGAACCACTCTCCTTTGAGTCTAATAAAAATATTTTCCTTTATTGACTTGACATTTACCACTGCCGTGTTTAATCTTTTTGTAATGACAAATCCACATTCGTATTCATATCTGGTGTCACTTCCCGAACATTTCCAAATTTCCCGTTGCTGTCTATCTTATTCTCTGTAATGCTGTTTATTCATGTTATATTTTTGCAATTGTTTAATGTCTCTTTTTACTATTTCAGGTCTATTCTAACTGAATACATTCCACATTCCTATCCAAGTATCCTTATTCCATTGCCTATGTACATTATATTGATTATCCGTCCTATTCAATAATTTCTGTTTCGTGGCTCCAAATTTTTACATGTCTATATACGCCGGTCTATAGTACAACCACTTTTTCGAGAGCCATTTTACCCACTCTTTTTATTTGCCAACCCAACTTTTCAACCGCGTTGGATACCGGATTTTCAGAGAACGCTCGGTTGAACAGGAGGTACCAGCGTGAAGGTGAGAGTCGGATTTGAGTAGAAGAGGCTAAGTGAGGTAAACTGGAACCAACTGCATGTTTTCGCGTTATACCCCTTTACTGGCAATATTTTTTACAAAAATCTAGAACGGTAATACTTCGTTTTACTATTGTATAGCTTATTTTTCTTTTTTAGGTATATTAGTTCGGTAGAAAACCTAGCAGTGTCCTTAGCGGCTTTGGGCGAGGGATGGCACAATTACCACCACGTGTTTCCATGGGACTACAAGACCGGTGAGCTAGGCAACGTGTACAACCCATCCACAAGCTTTATTAACTTTTTCGCTCGGCTGGGATGGGCGTACGATTTAAAAAGCGTCTCCAATGACATGATCTTGAGAAGGGCTCAGAAGACAGGCGACGGAACTCATCCCGATGTATGGGGCTACGGCGACGAAGACATAGACAAAGCTGATATGGACGAGTTGATACACATGGCGGAGGAGAATAAGTTTTTTAAAAGGGAAGAGTAAATTTTTTTATGTATAAAAGAAACTACGACTCTGTATAGTTTTAAATCGACAACTATCGCTCGAAATATTAACGATAAACCATATAATTAAGATGAAAATTTCAAACAGTTTACATTATATTGCATACATTACATTGTTTTTGTTAAATGACAACTTCTTATATGTATTTCATGTACACAGTATTGTTGTTCCTCTTCTTAACCTTGTTCACATAAATTCAGTTAAAATCTTTAACATTTTTTCTCTCGAAACGTTACATTTCAGATAATATTTAAAAAAATCTATCGTTTTCAAGTGACTTTTTAATGAATTTCAGACATGTCTGAATATTTTTTGTAGTTTTACCTTGAATTTTGCCGTTGAAACATTTTTATCTGTTGCGTACTCTGTTTATCAGAGAGTAAAATATTTTGAGTACATTTTTGGTCCATTTATATTATATGAATTATAATTTTAGTTTTAATTTAATAGAACTACATTAAGTTATCACGATGGCCGTTTACTTGCTAGCCTTTTGATTCTATGGGTTTATTTTAAGATGATTTATATGTATGTGTATTCTTTATTTAGTCGTAGACATATAATACAAATAGACTGATCGGCGCAATACATTATCGTTCTCCCAATGCGACGGAGAAAATGGACGCAAAGCAGTCCATGCGACTCTTTCTAATGGGCTGGATGTTTTGACCACGTGATCAAAATGACCAATGGGAAGGTCACGTGGTCGGTAAACTATAATAGCTACATTAAAAAAAAAAGATTCACGGACTGCTTTGCGTTAGTTTGCTCTGTCGCACTGGAAAAACGGTAATGTACAGCAGCGATTAGTCTATTTGTATTATATATCTATGTATTTAGCTATCAGAATAACCAAAAATTCGGTAGAAATTCAGCACTTCAGTAAAAAGTTTCATGTTTTTTATTATTTATTAATATTTTCTTGTCTCATTAGAATGTTCTTATTTAGTTTTTTTTTATTAAAAATATATTAATTAATTTTTGTCTGAGAGTTTTTCGAGCAATGGTTGCCGGAAACAAGTACCAAAAATTAAAAAAACTTAACCATACCTACAAAGTCGAACAAATCCTCCTTCGGGAAACATAAAGATATAAATTAACTCGTTAGCAAAAAAAAATATTATAAATATATTTTCAGTACGAATTGTCTTTGAAATGGAGACAGTGGATTTACAAAAAATAAGTGTCTTGGTAGAGAATTTTTAGTATTTTTTTGGAAAAACCACGAATTTAAGGAACACTTTTTGTACGTATGCTTCTAAAATATTATAATAGTACGATTATTTTGAAACATGTATTTAAACAATTTAATAAAAAATATTTATTTATTAACTATTTTGTCTATAAACGTTTTTTCTTAATGTGGCTTTGTAATACATGAAAGACTACAATCAGAGTTATTAGACTTTAAACCAATAAACGAACGAATCTGCATCATAAGATTAAGAGGTAAATGGTCCCATTTAACTATATTTTCAGTGTATGCACCAACCGAAGACGCATTAGAGGATGATAAAAATGAATTCTACGACTCTCTAAATCAACTCTACACAGAAGCTCCTAAACATGATATTAAAATAATACTAGGTGATCTAAACGAAAGGTAGGCACAGAAGACTACGCAATACCGGTGGCAGGAAAATATAGTCTACATGAAGTTACAAACGATAATGGATCACGTTTGGTCGATTTAGCGACAGGCTGCAACTTAGCCATCAAAAGCACCCAGCTCGCTAGAAAAAAGATCCACAAGGCAACATCGAGATCAAACGATGGAAGAACAGATAATCAAATAGATCACGTATTGATTGATGAGAGACATTCTAGCAGCATAATAAGTGTAAGAACTATGAGAGGGCCGGACAGCGACACAGACCATTTTCTAGTAAAGGCCAAGCTCAGAACAAGAATTTGAACACAAACAATAGATAAACACAAAAAGATCGAACGATGGAATATGGCGAAGCTGAAAGAAAAAAAATAATCAAAGACAGTACCAAGTAGGATTAAGAAATAGGTTTCAGGTTTTGGAAATAAATGAAAATGAAAGTGAAGATATAGATCAGCGATGGAACTCAATAAAAACAACTATTACAGAAGCAGCAGAGAAATCTATCGGAAGAACGAAAAAAACAAAAAAGAAAAAATGGTTCGACGACGAATGTGAAAGAACTCTTAAAAGAAGCAAACAAAAGAAGAATTGATTATCTGTCGAATCCATCAGAAGAAAAACGTATACTATTCCACAAGGAGAGAGCCGCAGCTAGAAGAACACTTAGACAAAAAAGAGACAATATCGGCAGCAACAAATCGAAAAACTAGAAGAACACAGACGAAATCAAAGTAAAAATTTCTACAGAGAGGTAAGACAACATAAGAGAGGCTCGTATATAAGCACACCCAACTTCGTATGAGATAAAAATGGAGAAATGCTGACTGCCGAAAACAAAATAATATAAAGATGGGCTGAATATTTTGAAGAGCTCCTGAATATCCAAAATTTCACCGATGAAAATAATGAAAATAGTGAAAACAACGGAGAACATGCGTATTAGACCGTCGAATTAGAAATACCCCCACCAAGCATGGAAGAAATTACGCATGCCATAAAAACGCTTAAAAACGATAAATCCCCTGGTCTGGACAATATTGATGCCGAGCTAATTAAAACAGGCGGTCATGAACTCATAAGCAAGATCCATCAATTAATAGAAATGGCCTGGCAACAAGAAACAATGCCGAAAGAATGGTATGGTAGTATTATTGTACCAATACACAAGAAAGGAAAAAAGGAGTCATGCATGAATTACAGAGGAATCTCACTAATCAACACTACATATAAAATATTGGCTTCGATATTATTAAAAAGATTAGTACCATTCGCCGAAGAAATAGTTGGTGACTACCAGTGTGGTTTCAGGCCTGTCAGATCGACTATTGATCAAATATTTACAATAAGACAAATGCTTGAAAAGTATTGAGAATATAATCACGACGTGCATCAGATTTTTATAGACTTCAAAGAGGCTTATGATTCAATTAATCGTGCAACATTATGGAAGGCAATGATCGAGCTCGGCATACCCAAGAAACTAGCTGCGGTAACACAAATGTGTGTAAGTAACTCCTTTGCACAAGTTAGAATAGGAGGAAAAATATCAAATGCTTTTTGCGTAAATTCTGGACTGAGACAGGGAGATCCGTTGTCCCCATTGTTGTTTAACCTGGCCTTACAATATATCATGCGAAAAATATATCCAAAAATCGAACCAGACATAACTGCTAGGGGAGCAAAAATCATACTCGCCTTTAGAAGAAGCTGCATTAAACATCGGTCTAAAAATAAATGAAGACAAAACAAAATACATGGTTGTCTCAAAACAAGAACGACGGCGAATAAGGCAAAACATTACTATAAATGATCACAACTTCGAAGTGGTTAAAGAATTTAAATATCTAGGAACAACAATCACAAATGACAACAAATTACAGTGATAAGTTGAAACGAGAATAATGGCAGGAAATAGATCTTTCTTTGCAATGCAACATCTGATGAAGTCGAAACTTCTTTCACGAGGTCCAAAGATCCGGATATATAAGACCATAATACGACCAACAGTCGCGTATGGAAGCGAAACATGGACGATAACAAAAAGAGAAGTAAATAAATTGTTGGTATGGGAACGTAAAATTCTTCGAATGATATATGGTCCTTGCAGAGACAGCGTGACAAACGAATGGAGGGGCAGATACAATAACGAGCTAGAGTCTCTATTCGGAAAAGAAAATCTAGTCAGATATATAAAGGCCAATAGACTCAGATGGGCAGGACATGTCATACGCAGTAACAACAATCGTCTTATAAATAATGTGTTCTGGAAAAGGCCAGATGGAAGAAGGTCTGTAGGGCGGCCTAGAAAAACGTGGAAAGATGCATCAGAGAAGATCTAGAGAAGATGGGAGTGCGACAATGGGAATTACTGGCACAGGACCGACAAACATGGAAGGCAATAGTAAACGCAGCAAAGACTCACGAAGAGTTGTAGCGCCATTGATGATGATGATGTTTTTTCTTAAAAAATAAAAATGTTTTTCTGTAAACCACTTACCTTAAAGTAAAATGTTTGCAAACTTGAAACATTTCAGGCGTAATCTTTTAAAATGTAAAAGAAGTAACTAAAATAAAATAAATGACGGTTGCGTTTTGAGCCTCTTACCACTCCCTGACACGTGTTTCTGGGTCTACCCGTCATCAGAAGGAGTTTGTAAGAAGACTCAAACAAAATCCAAACGCACCGACTACTAAGGCAATTATAGTAAAAATAATTACCAGAGTATGCTACTAGAGGCCTCTAGTGAGGAAACATGAAGTTAAATATCGATAGCAATTAAAGTAAACTGTATAACCCAAGCTGAATCAAGCCATTCAGAGCGATGCTGAGAATATTAATATTCCACTATGCATCAACAATTTACCCATATAAATTACTGCTATTTTTGTACTCATTGCGTCAAGTAAGGACAATAACAAAATAAATTTTTGTTTTTTTTTATTTTGTTTTTATTATTGTCCATACTCGGCGCAATGAGTACAAAAATAGCAGTAATTTATATGGGTAAATTGTTGATGCATAGTGGAATTTTAATATTCTCAGCATCGCTCTGAATGGCTTGACTAAAATAGTTTTAGAGGTAATTTATAACAGATCTGTCGGATAATGCTTATGATTCGCTATACGTAAATTCTGTTATGCTAAACCTATGGAACAGAAGCTTTTGGCAGTTTCTTCTTTGGTATAATGGAAAATACCGAGGAATAACATCGGATATCTGTATAACGATATTCAAGACGACGAACAGACTCATTTCAAGCGACAAGAACCTACAAAGTAAGTAAAATTTGTTATTCAGTACTCAGTTATTCAGTATTGAACGCATGTAGCGAATTAAGATTAAAATGGGCAAAAAATTACGTCTTT